ATTAGTAACAAGTGCATCGCTAGTAGTAACAAGTGCCTTACTAGTAGGGCATGTTGCTTTTCTTGAACTGGCATGAACGCATTGAGGGAGATTCCTGCTAATTAGGATTCATTGAATCCACTACAAATCAAGAGTTCATCCGCCGCCAGGTCAAAGAGCATTCCTCCACGGCATGGAAGGTCGAATACGACAGGCCCAGGGCATGGTAGTTCTATGGTCAGAAGCCCACTCCCGTCCGATCACCAACCTTTTTCAATTCTAGAATCTCAAGCTTTGGAACCTTCGGGTACATGACAGTGTGGATTCTTTCAGAATATTGAGGCCCATTTCTTCAAGTGTTTCAAGCAATTGCGGAAGGCTTTTGTGATTTTGAGGGATCAAAGGTTGATTCACCGGCTTTATCCTGCTTTGGGCGGCCTACCAGCAAGCCTTCAGCAACATGAGGAGGTTGCCAGAGAGACGGGAAATGGCGAGAGTGAAGAACGTTCTACCTGGAGATGATATGATGGAACCTGCAACCTTGGTTCTGTTGGTATGTCATAGCATCCGGACATCCCTGCCTTCAATTCCCACCAAGAGTTTTATATTCCAGTTCAGTCATATGGAATCCGCCTACTTCAATGAAATAAAACTACTCTAATTATACATATACATATATATATATTTATTTTTTTGTGTTAGTTCTTTTTACTGTGCTCTCTCCCACTCGCAGGCGGGAGAGGACTTCATGGCACAGTTGGGCATGGCCCTGGGTGGCACACGGAATCGTCAGGTGTGAATCTCATGCAGGGCAAAACGGATTTTGAAGTACTTAGACACCCCAACAACTTCTCTCCAGCCTTTTGACCACCTCAGCAACTACCTTTTATGGATTGAATGTGAAGGTGAGACGCTTGGGTTGAAAGCCAAGTAGGTAGTAAGGTGCCGGCTCAACGCTGAGGCTGGTGAAGACTTTGTGACTCAACTGGGCATGGCGTTGGGCACGCGCAATCGACAGGCGCGCTTTGCAGCTTATGGTGACAATGGTCATCCAGATTGTGCTTGTGTGTTGCTTTTCAATTATTTGATCCTTCAATATTGCTTAGCACATTCGTAATTTGTTCGATATCCAGAGCTTGTTGAGATTGGTGATTCTTTGACGCTCGAATGTCATTTCTCCTTAGCCATCCTTAGCCAGTTATATAAACTTTGCTCAACAATCACATTAACTCAAATGAAGCGCTCACATCAATGAATGGAACATTCTGGGGGAACTGAGCACGAGTAAATCATGACCAAGCCTCAGGCACCTGTGGTGGTCACGACAACAACAACAGGCTGGGTATATTGGTGGTTTCAGGTTTTATGATTGTCAGGAGCAAACCGGATTCTGATTGGCTAAGTATAAAAATAAACTGCACTTGTGGAGTCTGGGTGTGAGGGCATGTTGGAACAGGCCTTCTAACCCCTGGTTTGATGCTGGGTGGGCTGAAAGCCGGTTTTTCAACCGTCAGGAGACAATAGAGTTGTTGACTTGGTAATCAAAGGATTCAGCGGACCAATTATGATGGATGGTTGACTGACTATCTTTTTGTTGACCAGTGAACATGACCTTTGACAAATGTCAGCAGGGTACTTCTGACCAGTCTCTACCCCTTGTCAGCCACAGGTACCAACTCCCCACGCCTCTCTTCTTTTGATAAGGCAGACCGGGATGGAGGAAGCTGTTTGGGAAAGGATGAATTGCAATTTGTCCAGTCATGTTTGGAGGAATAGGCAATAGGGCGGCCTTGGACAGGCGAAGTATCAGCGGAATTGGAAGGTTACTGGACTCAACCTTTCAAAAGGCTTCGATTGTTCTTGAGTGTCCCATTAGCCTATTAGGTCATTTCACAAGTGTTTCATAGTGTTTCCATCAAATGAAGCGGACCTTGAATGAGTCGGGTGCTTGTGCTCAGCAACCCAAAGGATCCATTTAAACTGGATTAAACTGGACTGCGCATGCTGTGTGTCACAGGCCGACCGTGCCTTGCTGGAGCGCTTGGTCGACTACGATGAAGAGACCTGCCAGGAGAGCGAATAGCTTCTGAAGAGATTGTGTTTATCTTTGTTGGTGTTCTCTAGTGTGCTTCATGTTTCTTTAAACCATTCGACCCTTACTTCGTCCTTTCTTCCCGTTTCTTCCTCTAGCACTCCAGATGTGCAACGGACATTTGTGTTCACCGTATCATAGCTGTAATATACGTTAATAATACTGAAGTAGATGGAACATGATGGAACGATCTTACCGCGGCCTGGATTGGGACAATGACGGATGTTTGCCCAAGGACCTGGAGGCTCCACTGCCTCCAGCGGCAATCCCCAGCGTGGCTTGGCTGGGATCCATGCTGTACCTCTTCTTAATGCTTTTGCCTACCATGTCTCCAGTCAAATTCTGTCCGTCGCACTTAGCAAGTCGCAAAGTGCAAACCTGAGGTAATTTGATCTGGTTGTTCTGTGGAATTGCCAGGGATTAAATTTACCTTTTGCTTTTGTTTTTTCCCTACAATAGCCACAAATCCTTCCAAGATCAACTCAATTCATAAAGACGGGTGACGGGAACTGTGTTCTATGTAGCTTCTCTTCGCGGTTCCGAGCCTAACTAGCAAGTCACCACTAGCGTTCCGATGTTGTCAGGTCGTCTCATTGGACACGAACCTCGATAAAATTTACATATTCACAACTTTCAGATATTGTTTTCGTACATTAACATGGAAATTCTGAGTGCGTTGGCATTGGACGAGTAACTTACATTTTGTACGCATACATATACCACATGCAACTTGTTTGGAAAGTGTAGGTAGTAGTTTGAGGAGCGACCCTTTCAGGAGGACGACTCTGTCAATGGGCGGGGCATTACAACTCCTCTAGTTAGTTATATAAGATCCCACAAAGAAATTGTGCAGATTAGTAATTTTGTTTTGATGGGAGTTCTTGCTCACGAGATGGCTGTGCAGCAGTGCTGAGCACGTTTCGCTTGCGTCAGGTTTGTCAGCTTCTCTACTTTCGCAACGAGGCAAACCTGGTACTGTTGGGCATTGGGGAAAGGTTCATGGCGGTTGCGGTGGAAATTGTGAACATGTGCTCCGAATACCTCCAGTCAAGTCTTGTGACGTATTAGTAGTGACTTAATCCAAATATATATATATATATATATTATATATATATATATCCTGAAGGGCATGGCATGGTTCAAGATTCAAGTCTTTGAAGCCACCCAAGAACATGCAGCAACCATAGCCAGATCATGTCACCTTGCAGGTGGCAGTCACTCCGCTCACCCGGCTCTTCTTCAATCTCTCGCTGCATCCAGCCACCCGCAACTTCACCTTGGGACAGTTCCTGGCATCTTGGCTA